ACAAGGACTTAATCCACTATTAAATCAACTGATTACAATAGTAAGCACTAAGAACAACAGTTCAAAGTCTTCTCAAGAACTACTGATCCTAACTAGATCTTCTTAAGGTTCTTTTACAAACAAATGTAATAATAATACAAGTGTTTGATTTGCTTCTAAAAAATCTTTATCACAACTGTGATTTTTCACCTAAGATTAAGAACAATGAAATAAATTCAGCAAGTGAGTATAAGTTGTATGAGAGCTTGTAATGAATTCTTTCAAGTATTTCGTCAACTGAAGAAGATGAATGGAGTCTTGCTTTTATAGGCACAGAGGTCCAAGAGCTTTTCACGTTGAAGGTTGTGTACTAAAAAGGTCTGAGCCTTTTTGTCTTCATATCACATGACCTTTCCTAGAAGTAGAATGCACAGAGAAATCCTTTTTGTCTGTGTTCTTGTGTCTAGCATAAATGAGGAAAGAGTCGTTTGGTCATTCCAACAGACATAACTTTGAATTCTTCTTCAACAAGTTTCAGCAAGAATCATCAGAGTCTAGATTGATCAGAGCCTTCTGATGTTCATCAGAGTTTGCTGAATCATAGTCTTTGCAGCAGGTGTGCTTTCAACGTGTAATTGTTCAGAGCAGAGTTTGGAATCAGATCCTCAGTACTGACAGCATTAGCACTATCAGAGTCTTCTGAAATAACTGTGCTTGAAACTCTTCATACAGAATTCTTCAATGCTTCAGATGCTTCTGGCTTCTGCTTCTTATTCTTTTGTTGCTTCTGTTTCAGATCCTTCTGTAGACAGCGCTCAAAATCTTCTGTAGACAACACTCAAAATATTCTAAGACAACACTCAGAATCTTCTAAGAGATGCTTCTGATGCTTCAGAGCCTTGCATAGTTTCATGTTCAGATCTAATTTGCTTTGATAATGCGAAATCGTATATATATATATATATATATATATATATATATATATATATATATATATATATATATATATATATATATATATATATATATATATATATATATATATATATTGACGTATAATTCAACTAATATTTGACTGGTTTCAATCCGATTTCGGGGTTTTCCATGTTATTTGTCTGATATTTTGCAGGTATTTGAAGATCATGTCCAAACAAAGCAATATGAAGAAAAGAAGCAATTATAGATGAAATATGGACGAAAACCAGATGAAAACAACATGAAAAACAACAGATGTGGATTTTGCTGATGTGACGACCGTCACACATCCATGACGACCGTCACACACCATGACGACCGTCATGCAGGCAAAAACGCAGAACTTCAGTAAACGTGCAAAAACCAGTTCCAAGTCCCAAAATAATGGACCACTACTTCCTATTTTCTCTGACTCCAAGTCCACCTTCTGCAAGATATAACCGTTAGTATTTCACCTCTATAAAAGGAGAAGGAGGGGAGCTGAGAAAGGGAGCCGCATTCAGATAACAAAGTGCTGCCCAAATATTTTTCAGAGCAAATTTAGTTTAAGTCTTGTTTTTGTTCTCCTTTCTTTTTCCTGTATTCTGTTACTGAAATTTCCTTTGTACGCTCTATTGGCTTGAAGACACAATCCTGCCGACATCGTTGGGATTTGGCCAAAAGCCAATTGGATACTTTACAGGTTTTTATTATTTCGTTAATTGTAACTTTACTTCCCAGCAATATGTATGTTCTAAATTTCCGCTTTTATTTACGCTTTACCTGTTCCAAATCCATGTCTAGCTAAACCGGAGTAATCGGTATGTAATAATAATTCAGACGGGATTTGATAATAATCGGTTAAAACCTTTCTTTTTCAAAAGTTATTTATGGCCTGAGTGTTTAAACTTATTTCCTGAATAAACGTTCGTCGCGACAACGATAACTTATTTAAAAGTAGTTTTGCCACGACAGTGGGAAATTAATTAAGGTACGAACCAACAAGCGACAGCTGCGGCTAGGACCAGATAGTAAACACTAGACATTTGTTTTAATAACAGCGAAAGCACTTTAAAATAGATTAAAATTTAGAGATTTTCAAAAAGCGATTTTAACCCCGAACGGGATAGCGACATCATACGTTCCGCCTTAAAGTTGCGACTAGCGTCAACAACCATCGTGAGACAAAGGTCTTTAGATCCCTATTTTCTTCTTAAATAAATTCTGAAAATATTTTATATACCGGTAACTTGTCAAATCCCCGAAGAACATAATTATTGCATATCGATTCACGTAATTATACTTTAAGTAACGTTTTTAGTTCCCTTTAGTAATAGCAATTATTCCCTTAAACATTATCTACCTAGCTAAACATAGTAACTCCCGTGAACACTAGTTTGATTACGAGTCCTTGTGGGATCGATATCTTTTATTACTACGCGATAAACTGTGCACCTGCAGTTAAGTTGTATTAGACATAGAAAGTCGCGATCATGCTTCCAAAAGAATATTCACTTTTAATATTTGCAGCAAACAATCTTAAACAATTTTTAGAGTATATAATTCTTTAATACAAAATTTCATAATAGTTATCATCAAAACATAGAAATATTATTAAGAACCAATATGTGTTTTAACAGTTACAAGAGCTTCAATATGACCTCAAATTAGATACAAGGTGTTGTGCTTGGCGACAATTAGGTTGGGAAAAGATTATGCCAGGATCAGATTATTATGAGGAATCCTTTCTATGTGGTGGTCGGATCTATGGAATAGGCGGGTCGCCAAAGACATAATCGACCTAAAACAAAATTAATAATATTAATTAAATTAACAATAGCAAATAAAGTTTATATTATTAATTACATCTAAAACATGATTCGAAGGTTAACAAAAATATAAGACCTTGGGTGTTCGCCTCACTTATAATTGTTTTGGGTGATATTTTTAAAAATGGTGCATGTTGTTATTTATAATCCGATGGTAACCCGCGTGTTGCGCATATGTTTTAACATTTTTAATTAATTTTTTTACTTATTTACATATTGTAATTGTTAATATATATATTTTTATTTTCTTAAAATATAGAAATATTTAATTTAATTTACTTAAATTATTTTGTTTATGTTTTATATAGTACAACGACACTGAGGTAGTTTCAAGTTTTTATGTAAATAAAAAAAGGAATTACGAAATTATTTTGACATTATTCAATTATATTTTTGTTGGACTAATATGTTAATTATTTTGAATTTTGTGGCTATTTTTTTAAAGTTTGTTATTTGTAGATATTAGAAATATTTCATGTTATTGAGGAAGTGCATACGGTGTTTTTAAATTATACATTACAATTTTATTAATTTTAAAACTTAAAAAAAAATCAAATTAATTATAAAAGTTGATCAAATAATAAGATGATTTTCTATTAAAAAGTTTAATCACATGATTATTATTTTTTAAATATTTAGAAACCAAAATATTTTTATTTTATGATTTATTTTATTTTATTAAATTTAAATAAAATTCAAATTATTTACAAAAATTGATATTTTATTATATTATTAGATTTTATAATAAATTTATATATTTAATATCATTTTTTGTTAGCCTTCAGTTTTTATTTTTACTTTTTAATTATCAGTTTTTTTTGTGCTAAATATTTTTTAATTTAATAAAATAATATGGTTATTATATTTTTAGATATTAGACTCTAAAGAAAAGAAGAAATAGTGTAGTTATTACTTTTTTAGGTGTAGGTAAAAAGATTGAATTATATAAAAGTGATACTATGTTTAGTTGTGATTAACTCTTTTTGAGATATATAATAATAAGATTTTTGTAATATATTTAGAATAAATGTTGAAGTATAATTGTATTTTATTAATTTGTAAATAAAGTTTTAAATTAATTTTGAAAATTGATAAATTAATAAAATTATTGTGATTATTAAATTTTGTAAATTTTTTAAATATTTAATATATTTTTTTGTAGGTCGTCAAATTTTTATTTTTAATTTTGAATGATTGTTTCTTTTTGTGATGTATTGTAATTTAACACATATATCGTAGTTATTATTATTATTATTATTATTATTATTATTATTATTATTATTATTATTATTATTATTATTATTATTATTATTATTATTATTATTATTTGATATTTTACTCTATAAAAAATTAGTGTAGTTATTAACAAAATTGTATATTTTTTATTATTTTTTAGACGTAAGGTGAAAAGACTGATAATTATGTTTAATTGCAATTAACTCTTTTCATATATTTAATAATAATATTTTTGTAACATACGTTTCTTTAGAATAGAAATAAAAAAATAATTGTGTAAATTTATCACAAGATTTAATTTTAAAACTGACACATTAAATTTTGATTGATGTAAAAAATATAACTTATATAATATATTATATGACGTAATATGATCTAGGACATAAAATTTAATATATTATACTATTATTCGTAAATATGTTAAAATCACAACCTCTTTTTTATTTATTTTTTATGTTGCTATAATAAATCACCTTAAATATCATATGTATATTTTACTAGTTATAGTCCTCAAATATTTTGTTCATACTCAATTTATTAGTAAATTTACAAATAAAAAACAATTAAAATCTATTTATGAACATTTAAAATAGATTTATAATTTTAATGAATTCAAGAAGCACAACTACACTTAGTCACAACTTTAAAAGTTTTGTTTTTTACCACACTTATAATTCTAATTTTAATAAAGTCAAAGAAACTTCCCCTAGACTCTTATTTTTTCCTTTCTTAACACACTTCCTCAAGTTTTATTTTTGTCTAGAAAATCCAACAAAAAGAAAATAAAAAAAAAGGAAAAATAAAATAACAAAGTTCCCTCCACAAATTGGGTAAAATATAAGCGGGAAATCAATTATTTCATCCAATCCCGCCTAAGGTTCCAGAACTTTCCACTATATAAACCATTTCCCTCCTCATTCAACCTTCAATATTTCATATTCCACCCACTCTCTTCAAAAACCCTAACCGTCAAAACCCTAATTCTTCAGATCCACTGTCAAGATGTTGGAACTCCGTCTCGTTCAAGGTTCACTTCTCAAGAAGGTTCTGGAATCGATCAAGGAGTTGGTGAACGATGCGAACTTCGACTGTTCTTCTACTGGTTTCTCTCTTCAAGCTATGGATTCCAGCCATGTTGCTCTGGTGGCGCTGCTTCTCAGATCGGAGGGGTTTGAGCATTATCGGTGTGACAGGAACCTTTCCATGGGTATGAATCTTAACAATATGGCTAAGATGTTGAAGTGCGCTGGTAATGATGATATCATTACTATCAAGGCTGATGATGGCAGTGACACTGTCACCTTCATGTTTGAAAGCCCTAGTACGTTTTATTTTATCAATGCTTCCTTTATTTTGATTTAATTTTTTTCTGCTTCTATGAGTTTGTGTTATTTAGGGTTTAGGGTTTTGTGTTAAATGTTGATTCTGAGCTGAATTCTGTTTACTGATTGAGTATTCTGATGTTCATTTGAAATTTATAGTGATATATAGGTTTCAGAATTGAAAGTTAATGTCTGATGCTTACTTGGTGCTGTGACCCCCTTTCTAAAATTGATGTATATCTGTTTTCTGGGATATCAGTATCTCGCGTATTACACATGCTTTCAGTTTTTCTGTATGCCTTACTGATACACGAGTTGAAAAGTTTCAGTTTTAGCGAATATTTTTAAAGATTTGTGTTCTATTTATATTTTTGTATCATAACTTTGGCTGTCTGCCACTCATGTTTTATCGGTTGTCTATTGTTATTCACATGGTATTTGTTGCATGTTTATCTGTACTGCATTTTGAACAATCAGGTTTTTAGTTTTCAGTTGTGAAATATTTGTGTGCTTTGCCCAAGTTTTGTTAACATATTTGTGTTGGTTTTACTTGTGACTTATACATTGTAGATAATGTTTTTCTGACTTAATTATTTGGATTATGTGATGAAGCCCAAGATAAGATTTCTGATTTTGAGATGAAGCTGATGGACATTGATAGTGAACACCTCGGGATTCCGGAGGCTGAATACCATGCCATTGTTAGGATGCCATCAGCTGAGTTTGCTAGGATTTGTAAAGATCTAAGCAGTATTGGTGATACCGGTAATCATTTTTGTTATTATATTCAGGGCTTTACTAACTCTTGACTGCTACCTTTTTGAGTTATGCTAAATGTTGATTATTTTGTGGTGTTGTAGTTGTCATTGCGGTTTCTAAAGAGGGTGTCAAGTTTTCCACCAAAGGAGATATTGGAAGTGCAAATATAGTTTGCAGGCAGAATACTACTGTGGACAAGGTGAGACACTGATTAGTGATTACTTATTTTGCAACAACACTTCATGGGTGCATAGTTGAATGATCGTGTTTTATTCATATGTAATGTTAATTGATACTAATCTATATTTGTTGGTTATGTTGCAGCCTGAAGAAGCAACAGTCATAGAGATGAATGAGCCTGTTGCCTTGCAGTTTGCCTTGAGATACATGAACTCTTTTACGAAGGCTACCCCTCTATCCAGTTCGGTTACCATCAGTCTGTCAAATGAGCTGCCAGTTGTTGTTGAGTACAAGATTGCTGAGATGGGTTATGTTCGGTTCTATTTGGCTCCCAAAATAGAGGAGGATGAAGAAGAAACCAAACCACAAGATTAGTCTGATATTAGGTTTTGAATTTGGACGTAGATGTAGGATGTTTCTATACATTACTACTGTTTGGAAATCTATGCATTTGAAAGATGAGTAAGCTTGATGTTACATTATTTTCTAATTCTATAAGAACGATCCTTAACAATGAATGAATGTTTATTTTTCACACTGGTTTTTTTATTTTATTGCGTTTATTATTTTTAATGGCTTCAAACAATGTTGCTTAATTGAGGCGTCTAATTACACCACTTAAATATATGGTGTCAGCCATATTTAACTTGAACATTTGGTAGTGAAATAATCTACACAATTTACAAGAGCTTATGTTAAATTTATAGGTCAATCCTGTACAAGATTTAGAGCAATTAAGGCCAATGTACACAGGTTTGTTTGTTAGTCAGCTAAATCCTTAGCATGTTCTAAATCTAATCTTCAACCTTTTTTCAGATTTTGATTTTCTGCAGTCATGATTGTTGCTGAGTTGAGTAACACACTCAACATATGGTGAAAGAATTGTCAAAATAAGATCATCAATGAATCAAGGATCAAGCTGTAAAAAGTTGAGAGGAAACATTCCCGGTTGATGCTTGAGCAGATTAAAAAGTGGTTAGAAGCAATAATGATTGTTTGGATCAAATATCTCTTTTGCTTCTCTTCTTGGCTTCACTATATAGGATAACCCCAATGACTGTTAGAGAATATCCCAACATTCCAGTAACTGATACAGGATTTTTAAATATCAAAATGGAGATAACAACTGCTACAGCACCTTTTGCATTTCCTAGGACCTGGAAAAGCCATCATGCCTTCATGTCTAGTTGTATTAATATAATTATAACAGTAAAAATAGCATTCTGATTTCCTAATATATATCAGATTCCCATGGCCTCAACACTGTATGAAATAACACAACTTTGTTTCATGATTACCTGAAGTGTTAATGCACTGGTGTGCTTTGTGACTAAGAAATTGGTCAAGTTAACCATATATGCAAGTGCCGAGTTGACGATAAGTAACCACACAATACTTGAATCTTCTCTAGCAAGTTGAATTGTAATTCCAAGAACATTTTCCTCCATTATAATTGAAGCAGGAAGTAGGAATCCAACCGCGACTGGTGCCATGTACATAAGAAGGTTCATAGAATTCAACTTTTCCCTGAGAAATCAAACAAACGAATTCATTACAATGAAAGAAGAAACAACCGATATTGAAATACAATGTTATCAGAAACTCGAGTTCATTACGCATCAGAAGAAAGCAAGACCCCTTGAAGCACTGATTTGAGCGCCCTTGCTGCTGTAGCACTGATGCACATTATAAATCCGAATAGATGAAAACTTGGTTCTCCCTACAAAATAACTAATCAGCAAAATACATTTTTCTTGCAATGCAAGTTATCAATTTTTGGTATAAGACAGAGGACATACCCCACTAGCAATTATAACACCACTAATAACAGGAACAAGAGCCATGTAAGTAAGCCAACTCTCCTTCTTAAGAGTCATAATATAAGCAAAAATTGCCGTAAAAAACGGGGTTGTAGCACCAATAGCTTGATTAAAAGACACAGGAAGATACTTTAGGGAAATATTCCCTCCAACCACAGACAAACAGAATATAAGTCCAAGCGATGATATCTTCAAAAATTGAACCTTTGATCTAACCGTTTGCATTGGAACCACCTTCATCCATGACATTGCAATGTAACTTAGGATCGAACATGCCATCATGTGACACAGTGTCAAAAATATTGGATACTTGAAACCATAGTTGCTTAAAAGGTACTTGTTTAATAGCAGTACTCCAATGTTTGATGCATACCATAAACTTATCAAACACACCCCAAATAGTTGTCCAGATAATGGTGGTACCCTCATTGTGACTAACTATTTAATTGATGTTTTTCTTTTTTGTTATTTTTGCTAGAGATGAAGAATTTGGAACTTTGATCGATAAAGAGAGATTTTTTTTTGTAACGTGGGAGGAAAAAAGAGTGAAATGAGGAAATGAGTATTGGTTTTAGGGGGAAGAAGGAGAAGGGTTGAAAGAGAGAGAGAGAGAGGGAAGGAGAATGAGTGATGCAGAGTGAGAAGCTCTTTGGAGATCAATATTAGTGTTTGGAAAATGTTGTTAAAACATGCTGAGATTGAGGGGATATTATCCGTTTATACTATTATTAAAACAGCCATGCTATTTCTACACCCACTCTTACACCCAGTACTTACACCAAACACTATTCAATTGTTTTTATTTTTTTAATAAATAAAAATAATATTTATAATATGTGAACAGTGTATGAATAGTATATGAACAGTACATGAATAGTGTATGAACAGTGCGCGATAAATCAAAATTGGTTAATAAAATATAAAAAGTTGGTTAATGAAGTTATGAAGTTGGTTAATATGCGTCCAGATATTAAGAATAATTTTTAGCCGTTCATGAAGTTGGTTAATACAATGTATAAAGTTGGTTAATAAAGTTACGAAGTTGGTTAATCACACAATTTTATGTCTATATTATTTAATTTAAAAATTAAAAATATAAAAGTAAAATATTAAAATAATTTTTTTATTTTTTTATTTTAAAATAATAATATTATATTAATATTTCACTGTTCACCATATAGATGAACAATGAAATACGGTGTAAGTGTAAGTTTTTGGTGTAGGAATATCATTTTTGTTATTAAAATAATTTAGTTTTTAATACATGTATTAAAACATTTTTGTTGTTGTGTTTGGTAAATAAAGTTGCATGTTATATCTAATAATGTTTGTAGATAACACAAAAAAACAATTACTTGATAAAAAATAAAAAAATCTAGGTGGTTTCTGTTCAAAATGAATTTTTTTTATTGATAATCCATGCCACATTTAGTGATGGTAAATTTATTTACTATGAGATATTTATGGATAAAATTGACAATGAGGTGGTTTTACATTTTATTTTTCCACCTTTATACGTGAATCACATTTTTAAAAATTCAAAATTTTTTTTGAATTTTTTTGAGATACATCTTTAAACACATAAAAGTTTATTTTTTGTTAAGAGTCTGCAAGAATATAAAAGTGGAAAAGAAATTGTCTTTTTCTAATAGTTACCTATATATTGTGAAAGGATTAAGGCCAAATAGAGTCCAAGTCTTCAAAATACAAAGAGGTTAAGAAATGTTGAATTACTTTAATTTAAATTTCTCTTGAGTTTGATGACACATGTTTAGTAAAAAAAAATCAACTCAAATTTAGCAAAACTATTTACGATATTATAATTTTCATATAATAACAATTAATCTTTTATAAACAAAAATTGCATTAAAATTGAGTATTAAGGGTATTCCATGTACAAACAGAGAAGAGGGACCCTAATCACTAAGATTAAAAGAAATAAATAATATAATTTTTAAACCAATCCTCCCACTCAAAATGTAAAGGCCTCAACAATTTGACCCACAACCAATCCCAAGCTAATTTCTTAGATTAAAAGACAATATCATCTACATCTTTAATGCCCCTAATAAAAAGAATTTCATTTCTCGCTAACCAAATAAACCATGTAACCGACAACTAAATCATAATATGAAAGAATTTCTTTAAATTATTCGCTAATCACTTAGAAAACTCGAACATGTGTGACATAACATCTTGTTGAGGAGACATATGAGAAATGTCAATCCAATTTTGCATGATTTCCCAAGCACGTGAAATAATCGAACAAAGCAAAAAAGGGTGACCAAGGTCTTTTGGAGGGCAAAGACAAAGAGGATAAACGAGATTGTGCGCACCAAAGAGAATGCCTCTTTTCTCCAATTCGTCATGAGTAGGAGCCTTTTCACGAGTAATCTCCAAGAGAAACACATGATGTTTCTTGGAACACAAGAACTCTAAGATAAAGATAAAGTTACAACCAACCTCACATCAACCGAAACATCAGAAAACAAGGAATCTGTCAAAGTATTATACATAAATTTTGATGAAAAATCGGAAGTATCTCTAGAGTCAACACCTATTGGGTCTGGGTAAAAGAGAATCAACATTGACTTTAGTTCTTCCAGAAGCAAATCAGTTTTAGTAAAAGAGAACATCAAATCAATTTCTACCTTCCATTTTCAACAGCCTTGTGCCCTAAAACCTGTATTACAGACAATCACTCTTGGTACAACACAATGACCAAAAAGAGATAGAAACCTTTCTTTGAGAGGTTGATGGCCTATCCATATAGCCCTACAAAAATCAATGTCTGGTCCTGCACATAGTTTGCAGGAGATAGTGTTTTGGAACCAACCAGAATTTGAACCCGTTGAAGACACAATATCTCTAATATCTCGTCACCACAGAGAAGACATCCTAGACGATGGAATAGAGGAGTCTAGGAACTGAATAATTAAATCATTGCATTTACAAGAAATAACAAGAACCCAAAGAAAATCCTATTCATCCAAAATTTTCCAAATCCACTTGCTGAGCATAGCCACGTTATAAAACCCACAGTGTTTTATTCCCAAACCTCCACTAACTTTAGGTTTACAGACCGAAGATCAAGATACCCAATTGATCAACCTCTTACTTCCCCTGCCTTTCTAAGAAGCTCTTTGAATCCCGATAATATCATTAATCACAAACTTTGGAGCTTTGTAGAAGGAGAAGAAATAAAAGAGGAATGAAATTAAGAACCTCATTTAAAAGAACAACATGCCTTCCATAAGAGATGGATTTTCTTTTCTAACTTGATTGACTATATCTCAATTTTTCAAGATTCGGAACCCACGAACTATGCCTTCTAGGATTGACGCCTAAAGGAATTCCCAATAAATTTAGGCGAGTGTGAGAAATTGAACACGCTAGAAAGTCTGAAGCAGCCTCTAGGAAAAATGGATCAACATTGAAGCATATAATCCTACTTTTGTTGAAGTTAATTCTTAATCTCGAAACCATTTTGAAACCATGCAAAATCGCTTTGAGTGTCAAAATATTTTCCCAGCAAGATTGACCAAGAACGATTAT